AAAGAGTGAGTGTGGAAGAGACTGAGAAAGGGAAAAGGAGGAGAGCAGCACTCAGGTGTGCAGGAAGGGCAATTAAGAGCCACTACCCCAAACCTGTGCAGCCCCTCCTCTTGCCAGGGGTCCCCAAAGGATCCCACAGGGGTGGAGAAGGGAGAGGGCTCCTCTTCCTCGAGGCAGCAGTGAGCCAACTGGCACTAGGTGGCACCAGAGCTTCGCATTTAGAGAAGAGCGATCCTGGAGGCACAGCCCAGGGAGCCTCTACCAAGTCATACAACAGGAGCCCTCCTCTCCCCCAGCCCTACACAGAGCCCCATACCACCTGCTTACAGACTGCAACAGACCCAGCTACTGATGGGAATGACAGTGTTCCCCCACATGATTGGCAGCACATGCCCAGGAATCGCCAGCATTGCACCTGCCGGAGCCCATCTCTACAAAGCTCCTTCCCACATGCTGCTCGTCTCCGGCCCTGCTTAAAGCATTAGGTCCAGCTTGGTGATAGCCTGAGGCAACATGGGTGAGCAGAAAGCAGTACAAAGGGCCCCATGCACTGCCCTGGTGTGGCTTAGCTCACCATACTCCCACTTCCCCACAGACTGATCTAAGACAGTGACAGGGATAGCAATGCTGAGTCCGGTCAGCTGAGAAGGGCCCAGGTGCTGGCATAAGGGGTGCCTTTCTGCCCTGTGTTACCTGACGAAATCGCTGTACTCCATCCAGAAGACGCCCTCGCTGCTCCCGTGCGGCATCAGATCATGTCGCAGGTGTGTTGGCCAGTGAGGCCACTCGTCGGACCAGTCACCATTCCAGGAGAAACGGCCCCAAGGGTTACGGAGCCGTAGGAGCCTGGCAGGGCAGAAGCACAAACATGTGGAATTGGGAGGGATGCACTCGTACTGGATGAGGGGCAGCTGTGAGCCCCAGGGCCTGTTCATCACCCAGGAGATGGAGCCTTGACAACAGGCAGAGTCCTGGGAACCACAGGGCCTAAAGCCTGGCCTGGCCCAGTACAGGCAAGGGCTGTGCAACCCTCCCCAAGCCCTTCTGCCAGCACACTAGGATCCCACACTGCAGCACTCCACTGGTCCAGCCCTGGGCTTCCACACACAGTCTGAAATCTCAGCTCTGGAGAGGCCACTGGCCCCAAAGAGCCAAGCAGTGGAGTGTTTTGGATGAATGCATCACAGCAAACACTTTAACAGTGACCCAAGCTGCAGTCACTGAAAGCAAGCCTCTAGACACAACACCTGCCACAGTGCCCTGAATGGTGACAAGGACAATGCATCGGATGCGTCCAGCTCCATCCCCAGGCCTGAACAACCTCAGCAAAAGCATCTGCATTACGCTGCCCCTCAGGGAGGCCATGTGAGAAAACCTACCATGGGTTCCTTCTCCCCTCACCCTGAAAGATCAAAGGGGCTGGTTTCACTGACTCTGGCCCAGCTAATTGCCAGGGGGGCAGGAGGCTGCCCTGGTGACTCAGCAGTGCATCACGGTGCAAACAAACTTGTGCAACCCCAAGACATGCAGTAAAGCATCTGCTGCCACATGGAGGGGAGACCTAGCGACTGGTTTCCTGGGGTCCCTGGGTGTCCCAGTTAAAAGGGGATGGAACCTCCAGCATCCAGTTCAGCATGGATTCTCCCTTATTTCAGCATCCTACCCACAGCCTCCTGATACCCCCTTCTCTTTTCTGCAGGATTCCAGATGGCCTCAACATTGACAGCTTGTTCCCAGCCACAGCCTGGCTCTCTCATGTACCCTTGCCACAGTGCACGGCTACTGATGAAGTCTCTAACTCTCCTGTCCCAACAGCAGGCTGACCCTGCCCTGCTTGGGGACTTGGCCCCCACACCCTGGAGATAGTTTCATAGTTTCATAGTTTCTAGGGTCAGAAGGGACCTGGGCAGATCATCTAGTCCGACCCCCTGCCATGGCAGGAAAGAGTACTGGGGGTCAAACGACCCCAGCAAGATGGTCATCTAACCTCCTCTTAAAAACCCCCAGGGTGGGAGCCTGCACCACCTCACTTGGAAGCTGATTCCAGACCCTAGCCGCCCTGACCGTGAAGTAGCGCCTCCTGATGTCCAACTTAAACCTTCCCTCCGTCAGCTTGTGACCATTATTCCTGGTCACTCCTGGCGGCGCTCGGGGGAACAGGGACTCCCCCAGTGCCTGTTGATCCCCCCTGACTAGTTTATAGCAGGCCACAAGATCCCCCCTCAGCCTTCTCTTCTGGAGGCTGAACAGGTTCAGGTCCCGTAACCTTTCCTCATAGGACCTGCCCTGCTGTCCCTTGATCATGCGAGTGGCCCTCCTCTGGACCCTCTCGATGCTGTCCACATCCCTCTTAAAGTGCGGCTCCCAGAACTGGATGCAGTACTCCAGCTGCGGCCTGACCAGTGCCGCATAGAGGGGGAGGATCACCTCCTTGGTCCTGCTTGAAATGCATCTGTGGATGCACGACAAGGTACAGTTGGCCTTCCTAGCCGCCTCCCTACACTGCCGAGCCATGTTCATCTTGGAGTCAATAATGACTCCAAGATCCTTTTCCACTTCTGTGCTGACAAGAGGGGAGTTCCCCAGCCTGTAGGTATGGTGCCGGTTGTTCCTCCCCAGGTGCATCACCTTGCACTTGTCTGTGTTGAACCCCATCCTGTTCTCCTCCGCCCATCCTTGTAACCTGTCAAGGTCTGACTGTAGCCTGTTGCTCCCTTCTATTGTGCCCACATCCCCCCACATCTTGGTATCATCAGCAAATTTGAACAGGGTGCTTTGCACCCCCTCACCCAAATCACTGATGAAGATGTTGAACAGGGCAGGCCTGAGGACCGAGCCCTGCGGGACCCCACTGCCCACGTCCTTCCAGGCCGAGAAGGACCCATCCACTACCACCCTCTGGGTGCGGCTCTCTAGCCAGTTGGCGACCCCTGTGTGGGTGTCTACGCCACAGTCCCCCAGTTTCCTAATGAGAACAGGGTGAGAGACAGTGTCGAAAGCCTTCCGGAAGTCCAGGAAGACTATATCCACTGCTACCCCTGCATCCAATGATTTAGTGACCTGATCGTAGAAGGCCACCAGGTTGGTCTGACATGACCTGCCGCTGATGAACCCGTGCTGGTTGCCCCTGAGCATGCAGAGAGGTTGCCTGAATGTCTCTGATACGTCACCTGAAGCCTTGCACGTCCCGTACGTCCAATATGGAGTAAGCATGCCGTGGGCGAAGGCCCATGCTCTCGTAGGCCGCGTCATCCACCTTCATGTTTCCGCCACCACAGGATGCGCCCATTAGAAACCTGCAGTAGGGACCAAGGGAAGAGGAAGGAGAAACAATGGAGATTGGCATCACCTGCTTCGTACCAATGGGACATAGGATAAGCTGGATGTGACCCTTCTACCTGAGCCAGGGTTAGTCAGTCATTCTCAACCCCCTGGTGGAAGTTCCCACTGTCACTGTAACAGATGCCCTGTTGCTAGCCACGATGCAGGCCAGGATTGCTGGAGCCAGCTGCTTCTACTCCACTCTTAGGAGCTTTCACTCTTTGCTCTGACCCTATCCCACCAACCTCTGCAACAGCTCATGGCCTGTGCAGTGAACTGGCAAGCCTGCCTGAGAGGCAGAGCTCTCTAGCATTTCAACAATGCACTGTAATTCACACTGAGACCAATAAAGACCCTGGAGGTGTGAGCTTCCCCGCAACAGCACTCTAACTCTTACTTTTTTTAAACTTCAGCATATGAAAGAGAGACCCAGCTCTGCCCCACACATAGCCCTCTACCAGCCCTTCAATCCTAACACTACACAGGCAGAGCAACATTGAGAGGAGACTCATAAAACAGCAGCCAGGGGAGTGAGGATGGATGCAGCCAAGGCAGCCAGGGGAAACCATGTTCTATGTACCACAGAAAACCCAGGGAAGGCTTTGCCCAGAACCAACAGTCTCAGACAGGTCATTGGAGTTGAACCACAAACACCATCCTGATGCCTTCTCCTCTTAGATCCACCCTTCCTTTGAGCTTGCCAGGGTGTAAGGTATTATTCACACCCTAAGCCAGGCTCATCATCCTGGCTCACCTCTTCTCCCTGTCAGAGAAGACCTGGCTTTGACCCAGCCATTGCCAATATCTGTTGGTTTGGCCACATCCAAGAGGCATGCAGAAGAGGAGGCAGCAACCACCCTAGTTACTTGCCTGGTGATACAGCCTGCTGAGACTGCAGGCCCTCACATACAACACTCCTGTCTGCTTGGATTGAGAAATAAACCCAATCTCGGCTGGAGGCTAGTGTTATCCTGGGTCACACCATTCTAGTCACAGAAAAGCAATACATGCTGGGATAGGGAGTCTCCACATACATGCAGTACACACATGTTAAAAATGATGGCAGCCAATGCACTGTATTGCAGAACATTATGGGTCATGTGGTCTGGTTTAGCCCCTCTGGTTTCAATTCTAATGGAAATAACCCTGTTTTCCATAGCCTAGCAGCATCTCTGACACCTAGCAATCCAATTTCCCTCCCACACCACTCAGCCTGAATCTTCCAGAAATGTTCTTAGCTGCAGATCCAAATGGGCCCTGTCTCCTCCTAGTCTTGTTCAGCTCTGGACTGACTTCACTCCTAATTGCAGCTTGTTACAGACAGCAGAGCTGTTATAACCCAGTAGGGGAATCTTCAGGGTCAGGCCTGTTGTAACATAGGAGATTGGAAAATAAAACTTGATCAAAGCAAAAACAAAGTTAGGTTAATCATCAGCCATTTAGAAACCCACACAGAATGACACTAATTATGGATGGGAAACTCATCAGGGTTTTATCTTCAATATGAAAACAAATAAGGAGAAATTAATTTCCTAGCACTATACCTATGGGCCTTCTGGCAGCATTTAAGATGGCTGCCAAGTGTAGCAGGTTACAACCTGAGTCAACACTATCCTCTCTTCTCTGAGCAATATGAATGAAAGCTGCCACCCTAGCCTCTCTTCTAGGATCTCTATGCTCCTGACAACTCGCATGAACCCCTCCCGCCTCGTCTTACCCAGCCTCCTTAGAACTCAGCATTTTGGCCCAGATGAGGTCAGTGTCAATGGGCTCCTCGCGAGGGTTAGTGGAGCTGACCTGCAGCATCAGGCTCTCGCAAGGGGCGCCGGTTAGCGTAGCCAGGCCTTCAATAGCACGCCCTGCCTGGAGGGCAAAGTACGAACCATGTAGCTTGGCCAGAGCCTTCTCAATGAGGGCTACCCACAGCTGCTTCCTCTGGGCCTGCGAAAGGGACAGGGACACAGGTTACAGTTCACATGGCAGCTCCACAAAGAAACAGCAGACAACACCTGAACAAAACAAGCATGGACCCCCTCAGGCCAGGCAGGACACTTGCACTAAAGCTACCATGGTCTGCTTGTCCAGAGTCAGCGAGGAGCCAGCAATGGTGGTAGTCACGGTGAGTTACTTATGGGGCCAAATGAGATCTGTACATGATCTGATCAGCATCTTGTGCCCAGGAAGTGATTTCCCCCCTCTCCCATTCTGGAAATGCACTGGAGCAGAGACAAGAGGCTGCGATCGCTTTACAGCCTGCATGGTGCATTGCACTGCACTGTAAATATATATTTGGACAGTTCTTTCAAATGCAGGCATTATTTCTATGACAGGCTAATGGCCCCATTTCCCAGTAAATCTAGATTTAGGAATGTTTCATAAGAAAAGGGGATTTCATACACATCCTGAATGCCTGGATTTCAAATGCTCCCCTCCCACCCTCCCACCCACAATGGTTCCCTGGATTAGGCAGCCGAGAGAATATTTGGAGATGGAACCAATTACATTTCACACAACGGTGAGGTGAGGTTCTTCACGGACGAGAGGATGACAGCATGGAGATGTTAGAGACACTGAGGCAAACTTCTCTCACCCATGGCATGGGGACAATGGGGAGACCTAATTAGATTTAGCACACTTTACAAATGGAGCTTACCCTTAAGTCGTTTTGAAATGGTGGTAGGCTGTTGCTCTGGCATCGTTACGCTGATTATATGTTCATAAATAAATGCAGGGGATACATTACCCTCATGAAAGCAACCAGCCCTTTTTCAAAGGTTCCATCAGGAGTGATTTGAACAGTCTATATTGCTGTTGTCTTGGTAGCACCTAGCAGGATGGGGCTCTGGCCTGGGACCGAGGCTCCTCGGTGCTACCTCAAATACATCAGCATGTGGCATACAGCTTATGACTGAAACTCACTGCAGGCACATAACAAAACAAATCCCAGTCCCAAGGGGTTTACAGTCTAAGGAGAGTAAACAGCAGACAAACAGTAGGTGAAGGGGTCAAACCTAGAAATGAAGCTGCAAAGGTGCTATTTGGTGTGAGTTTTGTTAGCCTGTCTGTTTACGCATTTGAAACTGTAACAGAAATCACTACCTGCAGGCAGCCTGGCTTAT